GGGATATACTCAAATCATACCTAAATCACAGCATATGACTTTTTTCAAGTAAAATGAATTTATCAATTTACTAAGTAGGAAGCTTAATCTATACCACTTGTGATAGCTATCCTTGGTTGTCAACTTGACTACAATCAGAATTAACTAAAATCCAAACACCTGTGAGAGATAGTATTCCTAATTAAATCATTTGAAGTGGAGACAACCACTTTTAATCTGGATTTTCTGAGGTGGGAACATACAACTTAATTCTGGGCAACCCCTTCTGGTAGCAGCCTATATGAAGGACACGGAAGAACGGAAGGCATCTCTTTGCTTGCCCTTGCTCTGGCTGGCAAGTCTTTTCCTTCACTGGCTTTGGAGCCTACTTCTTCAGGATTCTAGTGAATCCTGAATAACAGCTGAGACATCCAGTCTTTTCTCAGCTATCCGAATATCTGGGAATTAGAATAAATCCTCCAGTCCCAATTAAACCCAGACAAGTTTGGAATGGCTTCATCCTTCATCAGAAACTTGAGTCACTTCCAAATCATATATTTACAGAAAGTATGTGATATGAGTGTTGTTTGAGTTGATCAGCTATACAAATGCTTTTTCGTGCTTCAATAGATAACTAATAAAAACAATTTTAGTACTATTATCATATAATGTATATTGGACAATTTCTAAAATTCATGTTTCAGTCAATGTTATAAGTTTCCCAAGGTATTTGAATTTCTAAAACATGGCCACTTCAGTATTATTTACAAATGTTTTGAATATAGAATGACAGAACTTTGATAATTCTGTGATTAAAAGATGTGTTGTGGTTCAGCAATAGCTGCACACTGACCACCTGGATACCAGGCTCAGCTAGATGGAAGTTTTTTTTTTTTTTTTAATATTTTTGTTTATTTTATTTATACATATTCTGCCTGCACCAGATCTCATTACAGATGGTTGTGAGCTACCATGTGGTTGCTGGGAATTGAACTCAGGACCTTTGGAAGAACAGCCAGAGCTCTTAACCTCTCAGCCATCTCTCCAGCCCTAGATGGAAGTTTTGTGTTTTTTTTTTTTAACACTTAACAAAGCCTGTCTGGTCATGGACACAGTCTGGATTCGGGAACCAAGGCTATGACTCTGAGCCATTCTCAGAGTCAGTTTTTAGAAGAAAAAGACCATAACTAAGTATGAAGAGTCAATTCCATCCGAGGTACATTGTGCATAACCAAGCAAAAAGAATCAATTCTATTCCAGGTATATTGTGCCTAGGTAGCTAGACAAAGTATTTTAAGCTCATTGGCTGGGATTTAGGGTAGGGGAACTTTGGGGACATTCCTGTTCTCCATTGTTCCAGGAGAATATGGCAGGGTATTGTGGTTTTGCTTACATAGAACATAAATTTATCATCAATTCAAGCAGAGCATTAAACAAGTGTTAAATTGTAAGAAAAAGGCTATTCTTGTGTCAGTCAGGGAGAGGCTGAGAACTTGAACTCAGTTTCACCTTATGATCAAAATGGAGACTAAAGACAAAATGGCTTAAGATATGCTAAACACAAAAATAGGGGTCAACAGAGGAGCTATAGTTATGCTAAAAATTACAGTAGGACTCAATAGAGGGGCTATCGTTATGCAAAAAGTTAAAGCAGGCCTCAACAGATGCAAACATTATTAATAATCCTGTAAGATCTTTATTGCTATAATTGGATCTGCTATATTAATTTCATTTTTACTAACATGATTATTTTCTTAAGAAAATGCACACGATTTTTAAAGCAATTATAATAGGTAAGTAAAAAGACAAAATCATGCCAATCAACATGTAGATATAGCCATAAAATTTTGGTGTAAACTGTCTTATTGTATTTTTATTATACATTATTAAAATGTGAGATCACATGGTAGATACTGAACATAAAATTCTGATGCCAGGGGCTGGAGAGATGGCTCAGAGGTTAAGAGCACTGGTTGCTCTTCCAGCTAGACCTGAGTTTAATTCCCAGCAACCACATAATGGCTCATAACCATCTATAATGAGATATGGTGCCCTCTTCTGGCTTGCAGGTGTATGTGCAAACAGAACATTGTATACATAATAAATAAATAAATAAATAAATAAATAAATAAATAAATAAATCTTAAAAAAATTCTGCTTTACAGATGCTTTTCAGTTTCGTGAGGTCACATTTATTAATTGTTGCTCTTAGAGCCTGAGATGTTGGTGTTCTGTTCAGGAAATTGTCTCCTGTGCCAAAGAGTTCGAGGCCTTTTCTCCACTTTTTCTTTCAAGAGATTTAGTGTGTCTGGTTTTATGTTGAGATCTTTAATCCACTTAGACTTAAATTTGTGAAGGGTGATAGATATGGGTGCATTTTTCTATGTGCAATAGAGGACTAAGATCCAGAATATATAAAGAACTCAAGAAAATATATAAAGAACACCAACAGACCAAATAATCCAATTAAAAAACGGGGTACAGAGCTAAGCAGAATTCTCAACAGAGAAACATTAAAGAAATGCTCAACATCCTTAGTCATCAGGGAAATCCAAATAAAAACAACTCTGAGATTCCATTTTACACTGATTAAAATGGCTAAGATAAAAATTTCAAGTGACAGCACATGCTGGAGAGGATGTGAAGAAAGGGGTAACCACCTCCATTGCTGGTGGGAGTACAAACTTAAACAACCACCTTGGAAACCAGTCTGGTGCTTTATTTTTTTATTTTTATTATCAGTTACATTTTATTAACTCTGTATCCCAGCTGTATCCCGCTCCCTCATTCCCCCCAATCCCACCCTTCCTCTCTCATCTCCTCCCTGCCCCTTTCCAAGTCCACTGATGGGGAGGACCTCCTTCCTTTTCATCTGACCTTGTTTTATCAGGTATCTTCAGGACTGGCTGCAAAGTCCTCCTCTGTGGCCCAGCAGGGCTGCTCCTCCCTTGGGGGGTGGGGAGGTCAAGGAGCCTGCCATTGAGTTCATGTTCAGAAATAGTTCCTGTTCCCCTTACTAGGAAACCCACTTGGATTCTGAGCTACCATGGGCTACATCCAACCAAGGACCAAGGTACATTCATGGCTGTAACCTAGAACCCCTGCTCAGCATCTGTCCTAAGGCAGATGCTCAATGTGAGTACTTTGATATTCTAGTCATTACTTAATGACTAGAAGGTTTATAAAGACTTGTTATTTAGAGCTCTGTAGCTTTCCTTATTGTCAGGTGTGTCATAAGCACATGCTTAACATGTAAGCTGAAAGCATGTATAGGACACAAATATTATACGTAGTTCCTGAAAGTGAAGAGTTTAAAAACAACATATTACCAAAATGCTCTCCCTACAATGTTCTTATATTGTTATGATGACTCCTTAGGTGAGAGACACTCTTCTTCTCATCTAGAACAACAATGTGCATTGATATTTACTGTTTTGTTTTGGTCTAAGACTGGGTTTCACCCTGTAATCCAGGCTGGCTGGGAGCTCCTGGCAATCCTCCTGTCCAGCCTTCTAAGTTCTCAGTCACCATGCATAGCCAAGATTGCCATTTTAGCAGATGAAAGGTGACTATTCACATAAAATGCCTTCATTACTGGAAGACATGTTTATATGATCATTCACTTGCTTCCTTTTTAGATAGCCTCTTCATATCCTTTGACAATATTTATAATCGATTTACTGTCATTTATTGGCAAAATCTCTTTGTTGAGCAATAATCCATTGTCTAATTTATTATAAAATGTCATTTTTCCAGTTTGTCATTTATCTTTTCATGTTGATTACAATGATTTTTAAATTTGCCAAATTTAAAATTTGCAGAAAAACTACTCCTATTTTCTAATTACTTAAATGGTTTTTAGATCTGGTATTGGATTAGAAAGCCTTCCAATTCACTGCATAAAAAACGCACATATTCTCTTCCAATTTTTTTTAAAAGGAAGAATATAATGCATTACAGCTGTAATTTGAAAGTAAGGACTTTTATGGATTTGTTTCTCTCTCAGCTAGCTCCTGAGGTATATAGTTCATTTTCTCCTCACTTTTAAGGATGAGAAATTACAACATTTGTGTATTAAAACTCCCTCTCTGTCCCTTTCCTTATATTCCTTAAAACACAGCATCAAACATACAGAAATCTTTACTGCCTGAGAGCCAAGTTCTTCCCTTCAGCAAGTCAAGGAAAAGAAATTCTTTTATTGCCATGTCCAGTAATGCTTCGATATTAGCACTCAAGAGATTCCTCACTTTTTACTAAAGCACGACATAACCTAATTTAAAAAAATGTCAAGTTGCCCCAAAAAGTTGTTTATCCCTTTAAACGAAGGCTCTTGCTTTTGAGGGCAATACGTCAGGGTTCTCTTCTGAACCGCCTTGGATTCTAGCGTTCAGTTGGGAAGACGGCTCAGGAAGAAGCCATGCAAAACTCAATCAGATCTAATGAGAGCCACCCAGCCTCAAGATCCCAAGAAGCTAATAAAAACAGGTAGTGGGGGGAATCAACGGAAGTCTTGATGGGGGTGGTAGTGTTTAGTGACAACGCTGTGTTCTCAGTAACCCAACTTAGACACATCCGAAAAAAGAAAACGGTTCATAGTTGCATTAGAAAAGTTAAAACACTTGATTCCTGTGTCGCGGAGGGCAGTATGTATTCACATGGGTGTGTTCTTCATTTGAACTTTGCTAATACCTGCTCTGGTGGTCCGTACAGGAGCAGACAAAGCTAGACTGAATGCTACTCTTGCCCTCAGGCAGGCTCCCCTGGGCAGGGTGAGGCACCTGGGTGAAGGGGAGTCGGCGTATTGCAACAGGCCGAGGTAATCTGGGGCTGCTGCGCGGCTCCTCAGCATCCCTGCAAGCAGGGGGCCCATCTTTAATCTCCGGGCAAGCATCCTTCCCCTTCCAGCTTAAATCCGCTACCGCGTCTCCCTAGCAACCGAGCTGGGAAAGAAGCGCGTAGGGGCGGAGTCACGTGCTCACAGGACTTCCGGGTTCCGTCGTGACTTCCGGTTGTCAGTCTCCTGACGTGCAGCGGCTGCGGCGGGGACGCAGTGGAGGCCTGGGCTCCGCGGGCCGGCCTCTCTCGTCCTCGTCCGCCCGTCCGAAATGCATCCGCGGCGCCCTGACGGCTTCGACGGCCTGGGCTACCGGGGGGGCGTGCGGGAAGACCCGGCTTTTGGCGGCCCCTTCCACGCACGCTCCTTCGGTTCTGGGACGGAGCTGGGCCACTGGGTGACGACGCCCCCTGACATCCCGGGCAGCCGCAACCTGCACTGGGGCGACAAGAGCCCCTCGTACGGCGTGCCGTCCGCGCCCGCGACGCTCGAGGGCCCCGCGGAAGAGCCCGTTCCCGGCGGCGGCGACGGCCCGCGGCCCGGCCCGAGCAGCGGTGAGGGGTGCGGGGCCCGGCCGGGCGGGTGGGCCGGCGGACTCCGGAAGCGCGCGCAGGGCCCGCCTAGGTCCTTGCACACGCTACCACACCCTCTGCCCTCCTTTCGTCCTCTGCCCCGGAGCCTCTGTTGCAAGCTGTCTGTGCTCGGGGCTCAGCGCACTAGGTGACATCAGCGTAGGCTGCGATGCTTGGGTAGGCGTGTTTGCGGGTGCTACGGGAGTTACCACCGATGGCCCGAGGCGGGACAGAGAGAAGTTAGATTACTGTTGTCTGCTGCCCTTGGCAGGTGGAGTTTCTTGATTTAGTTAATTGACTCATAGCTGTGTTTTGGAAAGATGATTTTTTTTCTTTTCTTAACCTCGTCAGTTTGGGGCTGGAGCCTGGCTCCACCAATCATTAATTTATCCATTTTTTCCCCCTGATCCTTCGTTTTTCATCTCTTTAAGATTTGTCGAAAGAGTTAAATTGAATAACACTATGCTATTGTAAACATGCACAGTATGATAATTATTCTTTTCCTTCATTTAACCTTTTAACCATGGGGACTCTGATTGTAGACACCGAATCCACACCTCCCTGTAGTTTTCCTTCTCTTCTCCTGACCTAAAACTTCCACTTAAGAGTTAGAAACACTGATACACCTTGACTTTGTAAGCAGTGGCCTGTAAGAGAACTTCAGTTGCAACACTGCATGTTTAAAGTCTGTTTTATGCTTAAAATTAAAATATCTGACTGTTCTCTGGGAATGACAAATTGTATCATTAAGTATTAATTAATTGTAACATTAAGTATTAAACATTCTGTAAGTAATCGTGATACTCATTGCTCAGTTTTTACTTGGAAGTTCAGAAATGTTTGAACTGGAAGATACTAGTTATTAGGAAGTACATAAAGAGGTGAGGGAGGATCAGCGTCATGCAGTTAAGCTTTTGTGTGTTACCTTGTTTCATTGTGTTGTACTGGTCCCGGAATAGTGCTGGGAAACTTTTTTTGAAGGAAGGGATAAATGAGATGATTCAAAACACAGGCATAACTGCTGTAAAGTTACCATTTATGCAGTAAAGTTTTTTTTTCCTTTTTTAAAATAATTTTTAAATTTTTATATTAATCACAGGTTATTTGCTTTGTATCCCAGCCATAGCCCCCTCTCTCATTCCCTCCCAATCCCATCCTCCCTCATCTCCTCCCTGCCCCTTTCCAAGTCCACTGATAGGGGAGGTCCTCCTCCCTTCCATCTTACCCTAGCTTATCAGGTATCTTCAGGACTGGCTGCAATGTCCTCTGTGGTCTAGCAAGGCTGCTCCTGCCTGGGAGGTGGGGGAGGGAGGTGAAAGAGTCTGCCATTGAGTTCATGTCAGAAATAGTCTCTGTTCCCCTTATTAGGGAAACCCATTTGGATTCTGAACTACCATGGGCTACATCTGAGCAGGAGTTCTACGTTATATCCATACATGGTCCTTGGCTGGAGAAACAGTCACATAAAAGACCCCTGTGCCCAGGGGTCCTTGGTCCTTGTGGAGCTCCTGTCCTCTCCAAGTCATACCAACTCCCCTTCTTTCATATGATTCCCTAGACTCGCTTTGTAGACCAGGCAGCCCTGGAACTCACAGAGATCTGCCTGCCTCTGTCTCCCTGAGTCCTGGGATTACAGGTGTGTGCCACCATACCCGGCAGAGATTTTTCAAACAGTCACAACTTAGAAATATCCCAGCTTGGCAAGGCTGCTCCTCCACAGAGGAGGACATTGCAGCTAGTCCTGATGAGACCTGATAAGCTAGGGTCAGATGGAAGGGGAGGAGAAGCTCCCCTATCAGTAGACTTGGAGAAGCGCATGGGAGGAGAAGAGGGAGGGTGGGATTGGGAGGGAATGAGGGCGAGGTCTACAGAGGGGATACAAAGTGGATAAAATAAATTAATGTAAAAAAATAAAAATTTAAGGAAAAAAAATACCCCAGCTTACAAGCTTTTGTGACAATAGGCCATTGGAATGAAAGAACAGTTGCTCCTCTAAGAAGTTCATGCCCTGGAACTTGCCATAACCTACACCAGTCACTTATTTAAATTGCTTCCCAATACCACATCTGCATTCAAGTTTTAACTACACAGCATATTGCTCATATACTGTATCCTGGTATCATAGTAAATATAAATATTGGTTATGAGTAATCTTATCTGTTTTATTTTAGAACAGTTGAATAGATTTGCTGGATTTGGTATTGGACTTGCAAGGTAATGTTTATTCTAAAGATTTTTTTTACTTAGAGTTTTCCCTTTAATACTAAATGATTAACATTTCTTCCTTTAGGTTTTATTAACATTTACTTCTTTGTAGGAATTCATCATTTAGAATGTATAACTTGATTTTTTTCAAGTAGTGGTAGGACCCAGTCATTCCGTTGTGTAAACACGAAGTAATTTTGTAACGAATGTGGTAGTAGCTTTGATTAGTGTACCAGGGCAGAATGGAATGCAGTCTTCTTTCTCAAAGTGTAATGTGCTGAACTTTTCCCTAAACATCGCAGTGCTGTGGTACCCAGGTATTTTTGTAGTGTAGAGGGTTGATTTTTGTTTTCAGTTACTATTTGGTGGGCAACCTCCTTTATAGCTAAGAACATTTATCAGTCTTTTTTATGGTATTATGAATAAAAATTCACAAATATTGGACTTGTGCCTTGTTTCTCCTTCATAACAGAATGGCATTCATCATTTTAAATATCTTGACCTTGTGTGGGTATTAAAACCTCAGAAATATAAGTGTCAGCATAGATAAAATGTGTATTTCACATTCTACTAATCTCTTTAGCCAAGTTCTTTATTCTTAAAGCTTTATGCCATTTTATATAATGTTTGTATATATATATATGAACCATATGTCACTATTAGAGCTTAAGCCCATAGCTATAATTATTTTTCAGGAAACCTATTCAAAAGACATATTTGATACATAAAGAAGTAATGAATATGGTCATTGAAAATCCTATACTGAAGTACCAAGTACATCAAAATAAAAATTTCTTGAATGAGGATCTTAGAAAGCAATGACTCTTCACATAAGAATTTTCTTCATAGGACATTTTCTGAAAAGAAGTTAAATGATATAGTATTTCTCAAGTTAAACATTCAGAGATCTATTTTCATCTCTGTACTTTAGCTAATATTACACATCTACAAGTTTGTAGATCTAGGTTTTATTTATACTGAATTTACTGTTCGTATCATTTGCTGATGAGCAGGTATTAAATCCTCTTAATTGTGAAAATAAGAATAACGAGATATTTGTATGTTAAACAGAATCTGTATACAGACATATTGTGTATACATACACACATGTAAATTATTTTTGTATAGTCTCTTTACAGAAAATGTACTGGCCCATCCTTGCATTGTTTTACGCCGCCAATGTCAGGTAAATAAAATTTCTTGTATTTCTGAGAATTCTGATAAAATGACATGAAATCTTGTACTCATTATTTTATGTGAAATGCTCAAAATGTATAATATATCATTTCTCCAAGTTTTTAGTCATAAAACCTCTTCAAAATCTTAAAAGTTGTCAGGACTCTGAAGTTGTTTTGCTTATCTGGGTCATATCTGTCAGTGTTCACCATTTTAGAAATTAAAACTCATGTAATTTTGATCTAACTTATTAAAATAATAATCCATTCATCAGATAGTTACATCATCTTTACAATATTTATGTTTTTAATGTCTTTAATGTCTGGAGTAATAGGAACCAGCTTCTTGCATCTGCTTCTGCAGTCAGTTTATTATGTAATGTTGTTTTGAAAGAAACAAGAATATTTAGCCCCCCACACTTGATGTCCTTGAAAATAGAGGAGTATTTTTATTCTTTTCAGATAATGTGCCTTCTGAAGTTAACACCGAAACTCACAAGTGGTGGTTTCTCAAGGGTTATGTGCAGTGTGAACTCTGAAGCAACCTAAAAATTTTAAAACTGTTATGTTAAAAAGTCTGCATTGTTTTATAATACATTGAAATGCATTGTAATTTATATCCACATGATTTTCTATCACCCTTTATTAGTTATTTGAAAAATGTTGAATCATTACTTAGGTTCCCAGATTCTAAAACATTGAATTAAACATACCAAAACTCATCTTCACTTCAAAAACCAATTATCTTGCAAGAAATCTTTAGTCACTGAATATTATTACTGAGATATACATTCCCAGAATTATTTTTTATATTTTATTAAACTGTATTAATTAGATAAAATTTTTATACAAAATTAGGACATTTTCAAACATGTATACCATGTCCTTTGGTTTTTCTTGTACTCATTACCTTACCTTGTCTTTTCTCCCACTTTCTACTGGTCACCTTCCTATTCCTTAATTGTACACTTCCTGCTTTCATGTCTTCTGTTTTTATTTCTTTAGTTTACAAAAAAAAAAAAAAAAACAACAAAAAACCAACCCTATGTTTTACATATGAGAAAACGTATGGTATTTGTCTGAGTCTGGCTTATTTTGTTGAGTCAGATCTCCAGTTCCTTCCAACATATTATTCTCGTGACTACATAATAATATTCCTTTGTGTATGTGTACACCTTTGTGCGGTAGTTGTGGTTTTAGTTTTCATGAAGGACCTCTGTAGTGCTTCCCTCAACAGCTGCACTAGATGAGAGTTCTTTTTCCTCACACAGTCATCAGCACTTGTTTTTGTTTATTTTCTTCATGATAACAGTTCTAATATAGGTGAGATGGAATCTCAGTATGGTTTTGATCTACATTTCTCTGATATAGAATGATACTGTATCTTTTTTGTATATTTTTGGCCATTTGTAATTTTTTTTTAGAGAACTTTATTTCCTTTGCTTACTTATTGATTGAATTGTTGAGGGTTTGGGTGTTTAATTTTTTTAGTTCTGTTTACATTCTGGTTCTCTGTCCGATGTCTCACTTTTTTAGGCTCTTTTGTTGCTTATTTTGCTGAACAGAAGCCTTTTAATTTATGCTGTCCTATTTGCCATCCTTATTTCTGTTCCTGAGTTATCAGAGTCCTTTTCAGAAAGCCCTTGCCTATGCCAAGATTTTAAAATGTAGTCCCTATGTTTTCCTTGGCCAGAGTCAAGGTTTTAAATCTTTTTAAGGTGTTTCTGCCTTGTACTTGGAAAAAAGTTGACAACAAACGCTCTGAGAATGTTTTTCAAACAACAAAACAAAACAAAAAACAAGTGTAATTTGTTAATTTATAGGTACACATTTGGTCTGAGTATATAGTTGAATGGTTGAGCACATAATAGGCCATAGGTTTAGCTATCAGTACTGCAAGGGGAAGATGTGTATCCCAGGTGTGAAAGTAATAGTTTGACAGGGTATTTTATAAAAGAAAAAAGATGATGTCTGTGATAAAAAGTAGCTAAGTAGGTTGCAAATCTATCATGTAAGAATTTTCCCTCATTACAAGTATCTTCTGTATGTAACACACAAAATGTTAATTAAAAAGGTGATATGTACTGATAGATCAGGATTTCATATAATTGCCCTTTGTACTTTTTCACCAAGGATACTCTTAAATGAAGATTGTTTTTCCTTCCCGTATACCTGTGATGAAGAATATAATAGAAAAATACAATTGATGCTACTACCTTGAATCATTGTAAAGAATCAGCAGTTTTATTCACCCTTGTTTTTATACTCATAGCATGTTATCAATATAGTGAAAAAGGCAAATGGTGCCTGAGTAAAATTAAGGAAATATTTTGAACTTGTCAAGCCTCTGGTAGAGTACTGGAGCTCTCAACAGTTATTGACCTGCATTGTAGTAGGTGCTATCAAGTAACTTAAATTCTTTGCAGAATAATTTTCCCACATAATATTAAGACAATATAAATCAGTACACATTAATCTGTTTTTACTTGTCACTGAAAAATAAGAATGCATAGAAAAATAACTACCTAAGTAGCATTGGCATTTGTAGATGCCTCAGAACAGTAAAAGTCATTTGTAGATATTTAAATTGTGGTGATACTACATTATGATCCAGTATACGTCATTTTGACATGGCTTCCTTATTTAATTGTAAGCTATCGTTTAAAAAATGCTTGGCCAAAATGAGTACGAGTGTGAAATTTATTTCTAGAGCTTACAAACCTTACTTTTCAAACAGCGAGATCCTCTTTATAGTATGCATTACTAGTATTTTATATACTAGTCTGCATATTACATTTATATCACTGTATGCACGGCACTTAATGTTTATTTGAAGTCTTTATTATTTGACTTTAAAACTTAACTTGGTTATGCTGACCTTTAGATTTTCATGGCCTTATTATTTCGTGACAATGTTGTATTTTATTACAGGTTAATTACCATGCTCGGCATTATCATCTCACTCCGTTTACAATTGTCAACATTATGTATAGCTTCAATAAAACTCAGGTGAGAATCTGTTCTATTAAAGCTATATATTTAAACTTGTTAAGCATTAAAGTAAGGATTCTTTTTTGAGTCTTCCAGAATTTCTCTTAATTCAACAGATATGCAAAGAACTATGCTAAGTTCTCAACAGGTAAGGTAAATATAATCAAGAGATTTACAATTTAGTCATAGAGACAAATAAAAAAAGTCAGGAGAAGATTGTGTACAGTTTATGTAGCTCAGTATGAGAACTATAAGGTATTGATTAGTGTGTAGATGAGAGGTATAACACTAACTGATATACTCACCAGTTCTCTCACTGCTGTAACAAAATACCTGACAAAACATCTAAGGAAGGAAGGGTTTATTTTGACTCAAAATTTGAAACGATATCTATCATGACAGTGAAGACATAGAGGCCTGAGCTCCAGGTAGCTGATCACATTGAGTCCATAGTCAGGAAGCAGAGAAACATGAATGCTGGTACTTGGATTTTAGCCCATTCTATTACTCTTGATGCTAAAGAAATGATGCTGTAAATCTTGAGGGTGGGTCTTCCCCCTCAGTTAAACATTTCTAATCTGTTTACAGTGAAGATTGATTTTCACACAGACATTGAAAACAGGGTATGATGTGGGAAAATGGCTGATAAAGAGATACTGACTTGCATACTTATATATTGACTTGTTAGAAAGTCTGCTTCTTAATACTGAGGTAATGGTTTTATATGCTGATGTGCGAAGGTAAAAGGAAAAGAGAGGTTTTAATTTTGGGAACTAGATATAATGTAGTATAATAGTACCTGTTGCTACCAGAGGTTGATGGTAAGAGAAGGTGAAAAGAGAAATAAGCAGCAGCATAAAGGGCCTTCTATGGTCTGCACATTTTATCCTAAAAACTACAGAAGAACCATTAATGTTTTATAGCAGTGGTTCTGACCCCTTGGGGCAGTGTCAAATGACTCTTTTTATAGGGGTTGTATGTCATATATTCTGCATATCAGATATTTACATTGTAATTCATAACTGTGAAAATTACAGTTACGAAGTAGCATTGAAAATAATTTTATGGTTGGGGTCACCACAACATGAGGAACTATATTAAAGGAATCCAACATTAGGAAGGTTGAGATTCACTGTTTTAGAGTGACAAGAAAATTGTGAACAAATGGATTGTTTGTATCAAAATTGGAATATTTGACTTCTAAGAACTTTCCACATAAATGTCTGTGTACATGTGTAAAAATGTATATGCAAGGGTATCATATTGTGATATTGCACATAATAATGAGCCAAGATAGTTGGGCGGTGGTGGCACAACCCTTTTTTAATCCCATCACTCGGGAGGCAGAGACAGGGGCAAATGGATCTTTGAGTTTGTTTCCAGCCTGGTCTACAGAGCTATTTCCAGGACAGCCAGGGCTACACAGAGAAACCTTGTCTTGAAAAACCAGAGGGGGGAGCATGTAAATCAGTGAACTAAGAAATTACCATATCTAGTAAGAGAATTCTAGTAAAGTAACAGTGATACATTTTTGTGGCAAAATGCCAGGAGCCCTTAACAAATAAAATGGTATCTTTGGGTAGTTTTTTTTTTTTAATGGTTCAAGGTACATCTGTTAAAAGTGGAAAAACAGGGCTGGAGAGATGACTCAGAGATTAAGAGCACTGGCTGTTCTTCCAAAGGTCCTGAGTTCAGTTCCCAGCAATCACATGGTAGCTCACAACCATCTATAGTGAAATCTGGTGCCCTTTTCTGGCCTGCAGGCAGAATACTGTATAAATAATAAAGCTTTAAAAAATGAACAAACAAAAAATGGTACATCTTTCCATGCACACTGATATTCTGTTATATGCTAAGCTGTCTCTGGAGAATGGAAGATGAAAGCTCATGCTGGAGACTAGGATGAAAAAGAAACACATTTATAGTATATAAAATATAGATACATAGAGTATCTCCTGATACTATATTGCATCTAATTTTACACTGTTGATATTTTATTTCTCATTCACTAGTAACATAGATTAATAACGATAGTAACAATACCAGCGTTGTTATTGAAGTGGAAACTGCGCTCTTATAGTGTTTGATGTATATAAGGAATAACATGGATGGAAAAGAGAACATAGATTTTTAAGAGGCTGAGAATTTTAGAACTTTGGTTGATTAGCTAGGAAGCATGGAAAATATATGATTTGGACAGAAGTATGTAGGAGCTACTGAGGGAAACAGGAACTACAGCAGATAAGGAAAAAATGGTGCTAATGGGTATGGCTGAGTGAAGGTGGGGAAATATGAAAGTTAAGATAAATCTAGGTCATAGAAGCATCTAGACTAGTAGGGAGTTGACTGTAGAGTGCATGAAGTTTTTAAATATGCTAACCAATCATTTTGGAGTACTTAATTAAATGGCGTATTTGTCTTGGTCTAAATTAGGCTGTCATGAAACATCAACAGTTGAGGCTATTGTCATGATACATGCCTTGGGATCCTGGGACTTCAAAGGTTGAGGAAGGAGGATCAAGAGTTGAAGGTGAACCTCAGCTACACAGGACTTTGAGGCCCTCCTGGGTTATGTGAGAGTGTGTCTCAAAAGAAAAAGAACAAAGTGGTAGAAATCCAATTAGTTACAGTTCTGTACGATTTATATTAGAATAACACCTTGTTAGGAAACATCAGCAAACCTTTAATGTTAAGTTCCGTTAAGAATTTCTGTGTTCTATATTAGGCACTAACAGAACTTTTTTATTGTTTTTGTTTTGATTTTAGGGACCACGGGCCCTCTGGAAAGGAATGGGAAGCACATTTATTGTCCAAGGAGTTACACTTGGAGCAGAAGGCATAATTAGTGAATTTACACCTTTACCGAGGTACATGTGTAGCCCTTTTTCTATATTAGTTTTATATTAGATTTTTATCAAACATGGAAGCAAATATCTTGAATCTGAAAGCTTGTGTGAAATAGCTCAGAGAAGGGAGGACAGTACAACTACTGTATTAATTACACCTTGCTGAGCAAGTGTGTGCTTGAGTGAAATGTGCCTTCTATTCTTCCTGCTGTGTACCAGCCACTGCCAGCTAAGTAACAAAAAGAAGTGTGAACAACTCCTCTTCTGTAAGTAGTTCATTTGCTTATAGTACATTGTGTGATTAAATAAACCCCTTTCACATTCCCAGAGATACTTACCTGGAGTTAGTGGCAAGAATTTCAAAAAATAACTGACAATTGAGATAGAGTCTGAATTATGAGTAAGAATTGACTGGGCAGGAAAGTAGCTTCTTCCAAGGAAATGTGGCAGCATACCCGGTCTCACGGAGCTTTGACAGCATTAGACAGAAAGAAGCAGGTTGTGCTTGCAAGTGAGAAGAAGCGAAGATGCTAAAGTATGAGCATTGTCTTTTTCAAACCTTTTTTATGTATTCTTTGATTTAGTTGTGTGTGTGTGCGTGTGTGTGTGTTTTTGTAGGTCATATCCAACTCAAATCCTCTTTCTCCCTCCCTGATTGTGTCTTTGTAATGACTTATTTCCTGTGGGAATCAAACATTTTATCTATGTCTTGATGTGTTTTGATCAAGGGTATTCCTAAGAGGTAGTGTAAAAGTATTAGTTTCGACTGGCTTGTGGAGAGCTAAAATATTAATCTTAACCACATTAGGGCCATTAGAACAAAGCGCTGAGTTAGGAAGGCATGCTAGGTATTATTGTCGTTAGACTGGAAATAGTAAAATAGTATCAAGAAGTGAATTGTGAGCAGTGGCTGAGGTTTTTTTTTTTTTTTAAAAGGAAATGCTAACCAAGGTGGAGAATTCATTAAGAATAAGTTAGAAAAGGAGATAAGGAATTTAAGTTTCAATAAATAGAGTTTGAGATTTTTGCCAGACCTATTTGGTTTATATTAGTTATTTTATAGTGCTGTGAAGAGACAACATGACCAAGGCAACTTATAAAAGAGAGCATTTAATTCGGGGCTCATGGCTCTAGAAGGTCGTAGAGTCTGTGACCATCATGGCAAGAGCACTGCTGGAGTAAGGCAGGCATGGCGCTGCAGTAGTCGCTGAGAGATTTACATCTGATCCAAAAGTATGCAGCAGGGAGAGTGAGAGGGAGAGCGCTAACACCAGTAGCACCTCCTTGAAAAAGGCTGCATACCTTCTAATCCTCAGATATTTCAGCCTGTGGGTCCTATTCTCATTCAAACCAGCACAGGGAGACATGACTGAAAGATGGTTGGAACTGTGGATTATGATGCTGCAGAAATTATTGAAGCATAGATGTAGCTTTGAGTATTGTGATGTAAAGTAGCATTCAGAGTATGAGATTCAATGACATTCAACTAATGAAGAATTGTAGATCACAAGTTATGAAAAGTGACAAGAGTAAATTCCTGGACAACTTGTATATCTGTATATATCTGTACCATGTGTTGGCATGGTGAGAGCAGTAGTTGAAGGGTATAGTTAGTGATACCCTCAAAACAAAACGAGTGGTAAGATCCATGACATAGTTTCTAGAAGCCAAAGGTTGTGAACTGTAATTCTATATACACTGGGAGAGAGAGGTAATACTTGTAGGGAAATGACTGAGTTGCTTTTCTGTGGGTCATATTCAGTCATTGCTTGTAGGAAAGACAGCACTGGACTTGTAGAAAGCCCTAAGAAGACTGGTACTGTGAATGTCCTACAATTATGGCAGTTTGGCGACAAGGCCCTCTTGCAAGATATGAAAGGGACGCTAATTGTAGTGAACAGTTTTAATTTGTTGGCAACTCGTTGGCGTGACCAATTTTCTGTAGTATATTTTTTCTGCATGAACTCTTAGGTAGTGTTAAAGGCTTTGGATAGTTCTGGTTTATTTAAAGTTAGCTTTCGTTTAGTTATCTCAAGTTAGGATATGTAATTGTGCATTGTTAAGAAAGAGTTAGTTGAAGGTATAACCACTGGTATTGCACATCTATTCAATGTTGGGATGTAGTATTTGTAAGGGAAAGAAAGAAAGAAAGGCAAAAAGCTAAGAGCAAGCTTTTCCATATGTTGTCTTCAGAGGACCATGTAATCTCAGAATTCCTTTAATACACGTTTGCATGTGGCCAGCTAAAGTTTCTTGACTCATACTTTAGAAATTGAGCTTTGGGTAGAGTGCAGGGAATCTTATGAAATAAGGGGGAGATAGAAAGACCTGGAGGGGACAAGAGCTTCACAAGGAGAGCAACAGAACCAAAAAATCTAGGCACAGGTTTTTTTTCTGAGACTGATACTCCAACTAAGGACCATGCAGGAAGATAACCTAGAACCCCTGCACAGAAGTAGCCCATGGCAGTTCAGTATCCAAGGGTTCCATAGTAATGGGGACAGGGACTGTCTCTGACAGGAACTGATTGGCCTGCTCTTTGATCACTTCCTTCTGAGGGGGGAGCAGCCTTACCAGGCCACAGAAGAAGACAGTGCAGCCAGTTCTGATGAGCCCTGATAGCCCAGATGGAAGAGGAGGAGGACCTCCCTTATCAGTGGACTAGGGAAGAGGCATGGGAAGAGGAGAGTGGGGGAGTTTGAGATTGGGAGGGGATGAAGGGAAGGTGCTACAGCTAGGATACAAAGTGAATAAACTGTAATTAATAAAAAAAGAAAAATCGAGCTTCTATGTTTGGCTAACTTTAATCTTTGTTATTGCTTTTTATGTCATAGAGTATGTTTGAAAGTACAGATGTGCCAGATATTTTGTTTTTGAGGCTTCCCCCCAAACACAGAGGTCTATAAAAAGTTTAGCAAAGTGCAGAATATTCAGTTTAGTACCATGGTAAAAATTCAGTACCTGTAATGATGATATTTGTTTTGGTTTGTGGTTACAGTTAAGTTTTAGGACTGTAGACAAATAACATTGTAAATGTGGAAAGTTGGCTGAGGAGAAAGATGAAGAGAAGAAGGTGGAATAGACAGACTAGTTCCAAAGGCCCAGAGCCACGTGATCAATTATCAGAGCAATAGCCCTACTTCTTATTGAGAACGCAGGGATATATATGTGAAACACAGCTGATCCTAAGCATGTCTGGCAAAAGTACACTACCTTGTGCTTAATTAGTAAGCGGAGATAGACATGCTGGCGCTCAGCTGACTCTCTCTTTTTCATTCAGTCTAGGATCCTAGCCCATGAATCTACCCAATCTTGAAACTTCCTTACACACATGCCTGGAGGTTTGTCTCCTAAGTCTTCTCATCTGTCACATTGACACAGTAGTAGCCATCATACAGTCAGTTACAGCTTTTCCCTGCAGCCCTCTCTGCTAGCAGACACATGATCACTTTGTTTCTGTCTTTGAACCACCACAGTTGTCAGAACTATGTCCAGAAAGGAAAATCCACCTACAGATTAAAACAAAAATAAAAATTTATTACTGTTTAAGAAATTAGTTCAAAATATTTTAAACATAATTTTTGTTTAATTTACATTCATTTTTATGTTTTAGGGAGGTGTCACACAAATGGAATCCTAAACAAATTGGTGAACACCTTCTACTAAAATGGTAAGTTCTAAAAATGACATTGTTACTAGAAAGTTCTATTAGCTTTTTTTTTTTTTTTTTTTTTTAGGCTACTTATTTTTATTTGATGTACATTGGCATTTTGCCTGCATGCATGTCTCTATGAGGGTGTCAAATCCCTGGAACTGGAGTCTTAGACAGTTGTGAGCTACCGTGTAGGTGCTGGGAATTGAACCTAGTGCAGCCAGTGATTTTAACTCCAGCCCTCCTGTTAGCTTTTTAGTGTTAGATTTGAAAAACATAAACTTACACATAATATAGTGAAGGAAGTTAGTGTAATAAGACTAGATCTTTGAGGAACAAGTAACATAAGGTGTAGGGATAAGATCCTGAAATACACATGGTGTTTGAAGTAATTCTTAGGCGTTTGAAAGGTACAGGTTGTGGTTCAACTTTTTTCTTTTGTTCTTTTTTTAGTTTTGTTTTTTTTTTTTTGTTCTTTTTTAGTGGGGTGAATACATGGAGGCCAGAGTCTCCTTAGGAGCCATCAGCCTTGTTTTTTGTTTGAAGGTGGTTCTGTTTTTGTGATTAGAACATAGTTATATCATTTCCCTCTTCTCTTTTCTCTAACATTTCCCATGAGACCCCGTCTTGCTCTCATTCAAATTCATTGCCTTTTAAAAATTGTTGTTACTTAGTGTATGTGTATATTTCTAAACACACAAATACAACCTTCTCAGGCCATATAATCTTACTTACATGTTTATAGAAATGATCATTTGGTATCACATAATCAACTGGAATGCTGTCTGGAGTCACTGATCAGGCTGTGCAGCCAGCAAGCCGCAGAAATTTGTTTCTATTTGCCTAGCTTTGATACGCATGCTACAATGCCCAGCTTTAGATACGGATGCTGGGGTCTTCATGTTTACATGGCAAGCCCTTCACCATCTGTGATCTCCTCAGTCTCTTAACCCAGATTAAAAAAAAATTACAACTGTGGGTTGAATATCCCTAAGCCAAACATCTGAAATCCAAAATACATCAAAATCTTAAGAATTTGAACATCAACATGACATGCCACATGTCTTAAATTTCTTGAACGTGATTTTTTCTTGTAAGGGGTGAGGTGTATACTATGTGAATACTATGTGAAATACAATTAGGCTTTGTGTGCAAAGTGAGTATAACACATAAATTAATTTTGTATCTAGACTTGGGTCTCACTTCCAAGATATCTAGTTATTTATATGCAAATATCCCCTAATCTGAAACATATCTGATCCTAAGCATTTCTCAAAAGAAATACTAAACCTGTGTCTTATTAGTAATTAGAGATACAAATGTATGTGTTTGGTAAAGAGCAAGCTCAAAACGACAGTCACATAACAGTGTAATCTAAAGGCATCTACTAACTTTTTTACAGATTAGAAGCTTATTCTTATTTATTTATTTGAAGATTGTGACTTGGAAATCCTCTAGCTTGCTGGCTCGCTCTGTGGGACAGTCCAGCACATAATTACTTACTGATGTTCCGTTAACCTTGGAGGCCAGTACCTACCAACACCTGGCCCCTAAGGGTGCTGGTCAGGTTAGTTCCACCTGTGAAATGATTTCAAGTAACTACTTTGCAGGCTTGAAAAGTTATAATTTAACCATATTGATGAGGAAACAACTTTGGAAAGCTGTACAATATTATTATTATTTTGTTAAAATGGAACATTGCTTACAGTCTGGCTTAGTTCTGCTGATGAGAAATGTAGAGGTGGAAAATGATAATAGGACAATAGCATAAAGCATTTTTGCTTGGATATCACTAAAACACCAAATTGGAGAACAGCTGTTTATCCAAAAGGTTCAGAAACGTATTTCAGGCAGTACTAGTTATGTGCAGGTAGATGGCCAGCCACACAGTTAATCATAAATGACATACATTCTGCTAACACTACAATCTAGGCTTTTTTGTTTTGGCAGACTGTCTTTGTATTATTATTACTATTTATTTCTGTCTCTGTTCAATAAAGTACTCTGTGTTTCAATGTTCTGAATTAATATTAGTAATTCTAAAGTATAGTTGAAAATTTAAAAAGATAATTCTGTGTTTGAATGTACATTAGATGAATACATTAAGACATCTTAAATTTCATTATAATCATTTTATTTTGTTGTTTGGTTTAATTTCTGCAGCCTAACATATATGGTGGCCATGCCTTTTTATTCAGCAAGTCTGATTGAAACAGTACAGGTGAGCTGTTCTTTCATTGTAAATGTATTGTTAAATACTTTTAGAATATTCAATATACTGTGTATGTCTGATTTTAAGTGTTTACTTCATAGTTACATTTATTTATTACACATTATCTCTGGTCTAATATTTCCATTGAAAATTTAACTCACACTTATGGTTTAATTATTATTCTTTTTCCATATACAACTCCACTCTTTATTCAGGTTTCTGAGAACCCAAACTGTGACTTGTTTTGAACATATAACCCCAAGAACAATTTAAAATACTTAATGGCTTATCATAGTGAGTACACCAATAATTGTCTGAGCATAAGAAATAATCATCCTAACAGTGAGTAGATCGTACCTGTAGTTAATAAACAGCATTCTTCTTAAGCATCCCCCTGAAGGAACATTCAGTGTTGGCTGAATACAAAGAATAAATTCAAAGCTTAGGGAGTTTCCCCGTTAGCATTTAAATTCTGCCTGGTTGTTTTACTGTTTCTAACCACATGGTGGCGCTTCAAGCACATTGAATTAAATTTTCTAACCTCAACATCTTTTACAAGACCTTAAGTTGAAAGTGCTTATACGGTTTGTCTTTTGTTTTCAGCATTCGATCTTCAAGAATACGTTTCCCATCTGTGTTAGTGCCTGCTCTGTAAATTGCTTGCTGGGCCAGCCTTGCCTTTCTAGTTTTTATTTTTTATTTTTTTATGTTGTTGTCTCCTAATTTTCTGTCCCCAGTACATCATTAATCTCTGATTTTGCTATTGCTGTTAGAACTAACTTTGGTTAACTGAAATTAACATCTTACGATCCAAACATATTTGCCTGTCCTTCTGCACTTGGCTGGCATTATGTAGTTCACAGAAGTCTATGAAGTAGTCTCATTGTAAAGATAAGGGGAAAAAAAAAAAAAAACTATCTGAAAGATAAGAATTTAAGACAAAATATATAAGCAACATGTTGTATCAGAAAAGAGGTTTTAGCTTTGGACAAACTTGCCAAAGACACATTTGTCTGCTTAAATTAGAGCTGTGACTTTAGACACTTTGAAACAAATCATCTTTAAATTGTAATTTTATCTTCTATGTAATGGAAATAGCATTTTAATAACTGATTTCTGTATTTATGTAAGTATTCTGATTACAGTACTAGATTGTCTCTATGTCCTTTTTTCTTGTCTATGTTTTAACACAGTACTTGCAGTTTGTCCTCTGGGTCTCATGTGTCAGTGCCCTGCTCTCCTTTTCACTTTCTTTGTTTTTATTGAAAAGCTTCTCTTTCTTTTCTCAGGTTTCTGCCCTGAGAAACATCTTTCTCTCAGTAGCCTCCTTTTCTTTCCATCACTTCTTGTTTTGTACCTGACTCAGCCCTGGGCCCTCCCTGGTTTTCATCTGTACTCAGGTCTTAGGAAAGCTCTTTACTCCTATGGATCTTGTCTGTTCTAGTCTTCTTCTCAGACTCAGCTTCTTCCAACAGTCTCATCCCCCTCTCTTTTCATCAGTACTAACTCTCATCTCTCTCTTTTCATCCGTACTAACTTGCTATCTTCATCTCGATTCAAAATCTAGTTTTTAGGTATGTTTTACTTCTTGGCCTTGATTCTGCATAACTAATAGCCTATTATGCCTTTGGAACATCAACAGGCACCTGATTGTCCCTTCTCCCAGCCAGGAGACCCAACTCTTCCCTCTTGGTTTGAGCATTACAGTGTCATCTGTGGTTCTGTGTTCTTGTAGGGAGCCCCTGACCTCTTAGAGGTCATTTTTTTCTTGAAGATATGTAGATCACCAGAAGAACCACTGTTTGAAACCCTTGGTAGAAACTACTTACCTGTGATTAATCCTTTTTCCAGTATCTGTGAGTTCAGTCTATGTGTACTTGCAAGGTTAGTGTTTTGAAGTTATAGTAGTTCTGTCCCTTCCTGATATAAGGATCTATATTGATTCCCTATAATTAATTTTAGACTTGTCAGTATAGTATTACATCAAAGTTTTTATTGACGTTGCTTTTTCATCTTATCTTTTTTATTATAATTTTTAAATTTTTTTAATATTAATTATAGTTTATTTACTTTGTGTCCCAGCTGTAGCCCTCTCCCTCATTCCCTCCCAATCTCATCCTCCCTCCCTCATCTCCTCCTTGTCCCTCTCTAAGTCTACTTATAGGGGAGGTCCTCCTCCCCTTCCATCTGACCCTAGCTTATCAGGTCTCACCAGGACTGGCTGCAGTGTCCTCCTCTGTGGCCTAGCTAGGCTGGAGCTGGGGAGGTCAAGGAACTAGCCATAGAGTTCATGCCAGAGACAGTCCCTGTTCCCCTTACTAGGGAACTCCACTTGGATACTGAGCTGCCATGGGCTACATCCAAGCAGGGGTTCTAGGTTATAACCCCTGGTTGGAGAATCAGTCTCAGACAAGCCCCTGTGCCCAGATATATTTGGTCCTTGTGGAGCTCCTGTTCTCTCCATCATCTTATCTTCTTTAAATTTATTTTTCTTTAATTTAATTTTATCTATATATTTATTATAATTTATTCACTTTGTATCCCTGCTGCAACCCCCTCCCTTGTCGCCTCCCAGCCCCACGTACCGTCCCACTTCTCCCCCTATTCCTTTTCCCTAGTCCCCTGATAGGGGAGGAGTTCCTCTTCTATCTGACACTAGCTTATCAGGTCTCACCCAGGCTGGCGGAATCATCATCTTATGAGTCCTGGCAAGGCTGTATCCCCAAGGGGTAGGTGATCAAAGAGCTAGCCACTGAGTTCATGTCAGAGACAGCCACTGTACCCCTTACTAGGGAACCCACTTGGAAACTGAGCAGCCAATGGGTTTCCTTTGAACAGGGGTTCTAGGTCCTTTCCATGCATGGTCCTTAGTTGGAGTAAATTTATTTTTCTTAATTCACAAAATGTTTACTCAGAAACAACGTGTATCAGAGAGAGTCATAGACTCATGTAATACAGTAGCAAAAATACAAAAATTCTCTCATTCTGTAGCTCTTAAAAGCTTGTGGAAAGGATAAACATAAATAAGACATATTTAAAGTCTGTAAGAAGTGGTGTGTTAAAGAGAGCAAAGCAAGGATGGTATGTCATGGGTAGAGAGGGGCATTTAATATTTTTGAAAGACAATCAGGTGAAGCCTCACTGAGAAGGTGATACATGAGCAAAGGTCTAAGCCCGAGAAAGACGTGATTTTGAAGAATATTCTGAGCAGAGGAAAAACAAATACAAAGACTGTTAAGTGGGATTGTATCACCTTGTTTTGATGAGTTGAAAGGACTGCTTTGACTAAGGTAGGGGTAAAATAGGTACAGTAGTAAGAAGGGCCAATTACGATACATTATAGTGTATTGTAAGAATTTAGCTTTTACGTTATAGCAGTGGTTTTCAACCTTCTTAATGCTTTAATATAGTTCCTCATGTGGTAATCCCCAACCATAATATTATTTTGCTGCGAATTCATAACTGCAATTTTACTCCTGTTATAAGTGATACTGTTAAGTATTTGATATGCAGAATATCTGTTATGTGGCCATTCAACTTAGCAAAGCAGTACCTTTTCATTTATCTTGCTAGAACCTTTGACCAACAGCTCCCTGATCCTTTTTTGAGATAAGTCTTTGTGTATTCCAGGTTGTCCTCAAACTTGCTAGAGTCGGAGATAACTTTGATTTCTGAACCTCCCATTTCCATCTCCCAAGTACAGAGATTACAGGGATAGGCTACCACATCTGGGTTTACTCTGGCAAGGAGGGGCATAGAGACTGGTCAGAGACTGGTCAGTTTCAGGGACTTCCTGAACATAGTTTGAATATCTTCCTGTTTTAGGCAGGGTGGAATGCTTATAACAGCAGGTAGCTGTTATAGAACAACTGTATAAGTGATAGTTTATACTGTCTTCCATTTTTATAGAATGCTGAACTGATACTTAGGAGAAGTTATTTATAGTAACAATTGTTACACAGTCAGTAAGGTGAGAGAACTTGATTTAAATTGACACTTTAGGGATCTTTAAACACTTTGTACTATCTCCTTACACATTGTTGCTTGTGGGCGTTCTAAGGAATTTATTTAAAACAGATCAGTCAGGCTCTCTGCTTCTTCCACCTTATCTCACTTCTGCACCAAGAATGGCTCTCCACTTCATTCCTGTCTTTTTTTTTTTCTTTTTCTGTTATTTTTGAGAATATAATATAATCACATTGTTTTTCCTTCCCTTTCTTCCCTCCAAACCCTCCCATATATCCTCTTTGTTCCTTTTCAAAGTCATGGCCTCCTTTATGTGTTGCTACATTCAAATATGTATATGTATAGACAGACATACGCTTCTAAATGTGACCTGCTCAGTCTACATGATATGCATATGTATGTGTTTAGGACTGACCATTTGGTATTGGATAGCCAATTGGTGTGCTTCTCTGTAGAAGACTATTTCTTCCACTCTTAGCATTCCTTAGTTGCCTGTAGTTCCTTGTATAGGGTTGAGGCCTCATGGGCTTTCCCCCATCCACTTTGGCATTTCTATTGGTGTTACTTGTTCAGCTCCTGTTTAGGTAGTCAGGTTGGTGAGACTTTATGGGTGTAGCTTCTGACATTGCTAGGAGACATAGCCTCACAACAAAGTCACTGATCCTATGGCTTTTACAATCTTTCTACCCCATCTTCTGCAGTGTTTACTGAACCTTAGGTATAGGAGGGGTTTGTTAATGTATCCATCCACTGGGATTGGGCTCCGCACTCTACACTTTTATTTGTTGTGGTTTTCTGTAACGGTCTCCATCTAATGCAAAAGGTAGTTCTTTGTGAAGGATTGAGTACTACATTTATCTGAGGGTAAGGACAAATGTTTCAGTTGTTTTTAGAGATCATGCTGGTTTAGTAAAGTGGTGGTTATAGGTTCTGCCCCAAGATCATGACACATATGAGTAGTTGGCTAGATTTCCAGCACCAGGCTTGGTTTTCTTCTTGTTAAGCAGGTTTGAAGTCCAGCTAAAGAGCTGTTGGTTACCACC